GAGGCAATTTGTATAGCCCAGCAAATGAGTTATATTATTTGTGTGTATTTCATTCCTACTTTTACTCTTTATTAGCCCCCTATTTATTCTGTCCTCTAATTTACTCTAATACCACCACATAGTGATCTAGATTAATATATTTCATCCATACAAGTCTGCCAGTATCCCCCTAGCTCTGCAGTGGTTTCAAATGGATGATACAACAGAGATGTGCCTAAAAACTATCTTATTGTATCACTTAAAATATTTAAATGAACTAAAAATAATAAGTTTGTATACGTAAGATGTTATTTCATTCACTTTTTCTTTTTTCCAACAGGGAGTTACTGATTTAATTAGTTACTCCTATTTCTCATTCTCATTTTATACTCATCATCTGACTGTTCAGGACTTCTCTTTCATTATATTTGCCTTCATTATATTTCACTCTTTCTTGTTTTTCTACCAAGTCCAATACACACTCCAATTCTCGTCTACCTTGACACATGTTTTGCTGTGCTTCATATATGCTTTGCATGATCAATATATACATATACAAGAATACAATACACAGAATATACATTCTTGCAGAATACATGCACAATTTCGTGTGCATATGCTTTACTATGCATATGTTAAGGGGCTGTAAAATTGTATTGTTGAATTTAATTCACCAGTTATCTGTGGTAACATGTGACGTTTTTACTTCTTTATTAGTACAGTCAAAAATGTAATTTCCTGGGTCTTTTCTTTATTGGTAGATATTTTGTTTGTATCCAGTATCAGCTGTTAGTAAAACTACTACAACATACAGTCCAAGAAGAAGCCTTGAGTTTACAATGTCAATATGTTGTGAACAACTTTTCCATGATACACACATTACACGGCTGCCTCTGTGTGTGTGCCTGTGTGGATATAGCCATGGATTTACAGGTACGCTTACACATATTTGCATGCTTATGGGCTCCCCAAGTAGTGAGATCTCTTGGTAGGAGCAAATGTAAAACTTCCATCACTTTTGTTAACTACTTCAGATTGGTTGTACCAATACACTCGTCCATAAATAAATACACGAGGTTTCTTGGATATCACCTCTTTGAGAGGTACCTAAATTATGTTCTCTTGTTAACTAAGTGATATTATAAGATGTGTGTTTCTGTTACGGACTTTTCCCCGCCTTGTTGGTTAGATATATAGCATGTTTAGTGAAACAGTTTATCGAGGCATTTATTTATTCTGGCATCACTGAATACAATAAACTGCACATATATGAAGCGTAAAATTTGATAAATTTGCCTGAAGGATATTCAGTTGTGGCCCACTCTTGAATTCTTTCTTGTGCGAAGCCAAGGAACCATACTTGGCAGGGTACATCCCAGGGACTCAACTGAGACCTAGGACATAGCCCTCCTCTCACCCCACATTTGCTTTTCCTGTATCATCTCCCTCTTTCTTGTTTTTTGTTTGTTTGTTTGTTTGTTTTGTTTTTTGAGTAAAGATAGATTTATTTAGGGGGATACGTCTTACATAGAGTGTAGGCTGTTTCAGAAGGCAAGAGAAAGGCCATAAAGTGTGGAGCTTAGGTGCTCAGGTTAAAGTAAAAGGAGATACACACTCCACAGACAGAGTGCTGACCATGTCCAAAGTTGAGGGCACAAGAGAGGTAGCTATGAGGCACGGTGTTGCTAGCTTTTAATGGGCTTGGTAAGGTCATATGTTAACAAGTGGGAGGACCATTCCAACTACCCTGAGGAAGGGGCTAGGGTTCCCAGGAATTGGACCACCACCCACTCTTTGACCTTTTATGGTCAGCTTCGAAGCTGTCATGGTACCTGTGGGAGTGTCATTTACCATATTAATATTACTATGAGCATATAATGAAGCTCAACGTCTACTAGAAGTCAAATCTCCTGCCGTATTGAGCCTCAAGGCCTACTGGGAGTTGAATCTTCCACTATTTTGGTGTTAACTGCTGTGTCATTCCTTGAATGGCTGTGCCCTGCCCCCTTCCCTCCTGTCCCATATCCACCAGTGTAGACAAATAGACTGATTTAGATAAAATTAGATACTGTGCTGATCTGAGTTGCTGAAATGCCATGATGTTGAGTTAATAAGCTCTCTAAAACTCGTGTGAAAATATACTGCTGAGAAAAAAACAGGACCTTAAGATTCCCATGTGGAAGGGGAGTATTTGAGCAACTTCAGATGACTGTTGATTTCAAACCATCCTACTCCAGTGAGTCTTCTTGAAACCCCAATCAAGTTTGCTCTCAACACACTCCACAGAATAGCTAAGGAGTAGGAAACAAATGAACTTCCTTGATGCTAAAACTGTTTGTTGATTCTTTCTAAGAAATGCTGCATTTTGCTTTCTCTCCCGTAATGCTTTCTATGCTAAACAATCCGTAAACATTCAATAGCTTTAACCAGGAAGTAGGTAGTGGGTCAATAGTCTCAGAAGAATAGACAGACTCTTTTCAGCTCCCCCATGACACCAGAAAGATTCCTGGAGGTTAACGTAGCAGCACCCTGTAAAGTGCCCTGATTATTATCACCTTTTCTGTTCCTTCCAGTTTTTTTCTATGAAACTTCAAGACCCCAACTCCAAGATGGATTCACAATCTCTAAGGCATGAGCCTGCCGTGACTCCACTTTGCCTGGCAAAGCAATACAGCTGGTTTTTTCTTATTCTCCCAAATCTCTGCCTCCGAGTCTCAATCGATTTTGGGGGCACAGAGGCCAGTTTTGTGGCAACAGTAGCATGGAATAGTGTGAAGCCCCAAATAGAACGAAGGCGCTAACACACACACACACAGGCACGCAAGTAAGAAGGAGTATAACGCAAATTAACAAACTGGCTTCACTGATGCAAAACCATTTGCTGATTCATTCTTTACTGAGAATAACTTTAACCCAGAGGCTCTGCTCCAGGAAGGAGATAACAGGCTGATAATCTCGGAAGAATGGACAGACACTCTGGAGTTCCTCCTGAAGATTTGTTGCATTTAAGAGGAATATAGCTCCTTGTAAAACGCCCTGATTGTTATCACCTATTATGCCCCATTCAGTTTTTCTATAAAATCTCAAGACCCCCACCGAGTGGTGGGCTCACAGTTTTTGAGCCTGCTGCGGCTCGCTGTGACTCCCTTTGCCATGCAAAGCAATAAAGCTGCTCTTTTCTTTCCTCCCCAAACTCTTCCATCCGAATTTGAATTTGCTTCTTGGGGTGAAATTGAATTTGCTTTTTGGGGGTGGAGAGGCTGATTTTTTGGCAACAAGTACAAACACATACAGATACTTGAAAGTTTATTCTAAAGGGGAATTTAAATGACTCTGAGTCATCAGTAAAAAGGTGAATGGAGCTGTACAGGAATATAGGTTTCATATGAGGTTGAACTTAAGTTAGTATCAATTCAAATTAGATAGTTTTAACTTTAGGATGTTATGTGTAATAATCCCCCTTTAAGCAAAATAAAATATGTATAGAATATTCAGGAAAGGAGATGAGGAGGGGATCAGAACGTATCACTACAGGACATCAGTAGAATCAGGCTAACAAAGAGAAAGCCGCATTCAAAATGGTAGAAAATTCTGTGAACTTTTTGCTTATCTTTCCCCCAGCGCCATACTTGGAACAATTTGACGTGGTTAGGAAACAGCCCCCTGGTTCCAGTTGCCTCCCTCAGGATAGAAGGAAAAGAATGGAACTTGCCTTCCTGTTCCGTCTTGTTGAAGGGCTGTGCTGGGAGTGCCTCGGGGTTTCTGCCTCTCCTACCTCAGAGCACTAACAGGAATTGTGGCAGAAGATGAATATCAACAGGGAGGTCAAGGGAAGACACTGAGGCCTTAGATGACTGCTGGGCAAAGATATATCCATGGATGCCTGGGGCAAGGGGCTGTTAGCAACCACAGACAACACAACAGAGCAAACAGCTAAGGCTCTGAGAAGAAGCAAGGGTGAGACTGATAGAAAAATTAAGACATTTAAAACCGGCAATGTATAGCATGGAGCTGGAACAAAAACTGCGCGCTCAGATTCAGGGAAGGCACATCCTCAGAAGAAGGTTGAGAGGAGTTTGGCTTTCTCGCCAGGCTGGTTAGTGAAATCCAGACCAAAAACAAGGGAAGCAACACACAAAAATATCACAAAGATACAGGGCAAAAAGACCCATTCAATCACACAAAATATATATCCAATACGTAAACAAAATGCAGATATAAACAAGGGATGTGGTGGAGAGTAACCTTTGTTTTGTTGGAGGTTTACGGGGAAACCATGACCTGGCCCTCAGGGATGGCTGCAAGAACAAAGAGCGCCTGCAGCAAGAAGATTGCAACAACCAACCACACCCCCTCACTTGTTTTTTGTATTAAAGGAGCCTGTATTCTGAGTAGAGCAGGATGTCCAAGATATTAGTCTGCCATCCTCTCGGTCTGGCTTGGGGCTGTCATGGCGCCTGCGGGCATGTTATTGATCACGCTGTTACAATGAGCATGTAATGAAGCTCAAGGTTTACAGAAGTCAAACCTCTTAATCCTCAAGGCCAGCTGGGAGTTGATTTTTCCACCATTTTTGTGTTAAATTGCTGTCATTCCTTGAGTGGCTGTGCCCTGTCCCCTTCCCTCCTGTCTCAAGATTATCAAAATAAATAATAAACAAGAAAGGCAATTAAGAGTCACATAAACTCCCCTTTTGTAGCTACTCTTCTTCCTCACTCCCACATAGCATAACCCACTCTTCTTGACTGCTCTTATGGTCCAAAGCATTCTAACTCATTCTATTGCACTCTAAAATTGACTTAATTATTATATTACATTTCATCTCTTCTCAGAGATTGCAAAGATTTTTCTGTTTTTTTTTTCACTGATGTATTTATACTACTTAGGTGTGTGTTTAGCACATAGAAGCATACTCTAAATATATGATGAACTTATTGGAATTTGCTTTTCCCTCTGAAAGCACACACAGCAAAGTAGGAAGTCCTGAACCTAATTTATAGGAATCACATTGACAGTGATCTTTAAGAAAAGATATGGCAGAGATTTTTCTGCATTCTGTGTAGGGCATATTTTACATCTTTGTTCCTCAAGCTATAGATCAAGGGATTTAACATGGGGATGACAAGGGTATAAAATATAGATGCCACTTTATCAGTGTCAAAGGAATGGCTGGACTTGGGCTTCACATACATAAATATCAAAGTCCCGTAGAACACGGTGACCACTGTCAGGTGGGATCCACAGGTAGAGAAAGCCTTCCTCCTACCTTCAGCAGAGTTCATCCTGAGAATGGCTACAAGGATGAGCAAGTAAGACACAACAACTATCAAAAGGGACAAAATCAAATTCAATCCTGATAAGATAAGAATGATTAATTCAATTTCATGTGTGTTCGAGCAAAGCAAAGATATCAAGGGGAGACTGTCACAGTAGAAATGACTGATGACACTGTAGCCACAGAAGGATGAATTAAATATCTTTACAGTCACTAGAAGAGACACAAATGTGCTATAGAGGTAGGGGACTGCCACCAGCACTCGGCACACCCTTTGGGACATGATGACTGTGTAGAGCAGAGGGTTGCAGATGGCCACATAGCGGTCATAGGACATTGCTGACAAAATAAAAAGTTCACTGATAATGAACGTGATGAAGAAAGCCAGCTGTGTTGCACAAAAGTAATAGGAGATTGTATTTTGATCCACAACAAAATTTACCAACATTTTGGGGCCCACTGTTGTTGAATAACCCAAATCAGTAAGAGCCAGGTGTCTGAGGAAGAAGTACATGGGTGTCTGCAGCCTGGAGTCCACCTTGGTGAGGATGACCATGCCCAAGTTGCCCACCACTGAGATCATGTAGATGATGAGGAAGAGCCCAAATAACAGAGCCTGCAGCTCAGGGCGGTCTGTGATGCCCATGAGAATGAACTCGCTCAGCACGGTTCCATTGTGTGTTTCCATCTGGGTTTATCAGAGAATCTATTCTGAATAGAAACATCAGCAGTCAGTGACATCATGTAGTACAATTGGTGATTTTTTAAGTGTACAAAGCTGACATAAAGAAAATAAATCTAAATTTATATTTTAAGCACAATGCAAAAATCCACCTCCTATAAATAAAACATACAAATAGAGATATATAAAAGAAATAGAGATAAATGTATAGTTGGAAACAGAGAGAGAGATTTGTAGTTTTCCACTGAGGATGATTTACCCCGCAAAGGACGTTTGATAATATTTTTAGGCATTTTGATTGTTACCACTGGAGGTGGTTTGAAGCTAGTGAGGCTGGTAATTATCCTAATATATTATGGCAGCCCCCAACAGCAAGGAATTATACAGCCCCAAATGCCAAAGAGCTACGATTATCCAGCACTGATAATATGTGTAGATATGGATATGGGTTGATATAGAAGTAGATGAGGGAAGTATTTCTGAAAAAAATGATATAACTTGTAGGTCTTGTTTTACAAGTGAGGCAAACTTTTCTATCACCTTTTATATAATGGCAATCATATACTTATAAAATTAAAATCACATAGTATTACATCATACATATGCTAATGATATCATAAAAATTAAAATCAAAATTCCAATTGTGTGTGGAAATATTTAGAAGCCCTTGCTTTAAAAACCATGTTCATCTGAACGTCCTTATGTCTACAGGTGGGACAGGATAAAACAATTAACATCTTTGGCCAATATCAGACAGAGATGTAAAGATGGGGAAGTTCTAACAGATCACAGTATGCACTTTTGTCTTTATACAGGAAAATATTCCATGAAATACATATAGGTTGATATAATCTTGGCCATACCTGGACTTTTTGTATATACAAAAGTGTACTTTGGGCAAATGCTGTAAAGTATCTTAACCTCTTTGTACACATTAGCAAGATCAACTGCTTCTTGCAGGGTTGTTGGGAAGATATGTGAGAATTAAACACTTAAATGCATTCACGGCAGTACCTGAAAATATCCCTAAAATGCATAGAATTTTTCTTTTGAGCATTTGTTTTTAATTTCTTAATGGAAACAACATGTTTCTGAAAATGGATTATCATTATACATGTACATATATATATTTTTTGAGTGGCTTAACTTTTGGGTTAGGGGTACGATGAGGAATAGATGGAGAGCTTTGTTATCCAGTTAACAGTTCCAAGTGCCCCTCAACACGACTCATCTCCATGGCTACAGTGGGATCCTTCATGTGCTCTTGCTTTGGATAATTTATCTTCTATCTCACTTAATATTATTAATATATATTTATCTAACAATTAGCATATTTCCTCCTCCCCAAGTGCACTTTCATGATAATTGACATATACTGAATCATTTAAACATGTAAGGTATGTTTTGCTGTGAAGGAACCTAAGTTAGTATGAGGAAATTGAGCAAATTAAAAGAAAGTGGTGTCCCTTGCAACTGGTTTCATAGAATAAAGTTTCATAAACATATCCTTTGGATAAAGAGATTCTCTACTTTACAGAAAAAAAGAAAGTTCTAAAATCACTATATATTACACAACATCATACTGGAAAAATAAAATAAAAAGATAAAATACTAAGAATATTATATAATTCCAGAATGTTACTTTGTCTGCCTTCACATTAAAGCCACAAAGATCCTCTGTATAGCATTTAATGCAGACATATATAAATGTGATAAAGTAAAGATATATGTGAATATTTCAATTAAGCCATCAATTAAAAACAAAAAAGAAACACAAGAGTAATACCAGAGTAGAGTGAGGGTGGCTGGCTAAGGTAAAAGAATAAGTGATTTAAAAAATTGTATTAATACTTACTAAAAGAAATAAAAAATAAATAGAATTGATCCTGATTACATGAAAATTAGCAGAGTCAGAAGAAAGAAAATAAAAATATGTTTATAAAATTAAATTATGTATATGTTTATAGGATATCCACACTCATCTCACAACATACATTGTTTATAAGGTTGCGAGCTTCTAATATCCTACACTGTCCCCAAATACATGCCTTTCTCATGTCAGAAATACTGAACTACAATTAGGAAAACAATTTTTAAATAATGAAAATTGGAAGTTATATAATCTTGTTTAGATGCACTGATGAAAGCGTATAGGAACAAATTACATTGATAAGTGCTGAGTTTTCTGTAAGATAAGGGAGGGCTGAAGAGCTTTTCCTTACCAGCAACAGAGTTGTATGGAAGGTATCAAATTAATTTTTCATGGTTTACTATCTGTGTTGATTACCTGATTATTATTTTTAAAGCTATATTCTTTGAGAAAATTATATGTGCTTTCTGTCTGATGGCACTGGAAACTGAACATTGTACCATCACTGTAACACTGGGTACTCAGAATCTCCTAGCTTCCAAAAATTGCTTTTCACATCTCAGTGCAAGGTGGAAACTCCCTTTGTGCTAAACAAGAGATCAGAAAAATTCACATTTATACGTTGATTTCAATATTCATTAAATACTCAATATTTTTGAGAAAGGAGTAAGAAGCGCCTAGAGTCACTAACTGACTAAGGATTTGACGGGACATCAAACTAGAAACTGACCACCTGCGGCTTTGTAATTCTGCCATGATTTCAATTTTTTATTCCTGACTCTTTAGTTAGGCTTTCTTGTCCCTCAGTTTTGACATTTCTTCTTCGTGTGACTAAGTCTATATATAAAATTTAAATATTACATAAACAGTATGGCACTGACATTTCAAAGATGCTCATTGGCGTTTGTGAAAATATTTGCACATCAATCTGAAGGAAAAGGGAAGCTGTCCTGTTCTGCTCCGTGCATTATCAACCTCAGGGTGTACACGGAAGTGAATCAGACATCCTCATGTTTTACTGTGCTTTGTCATAGAATAAGTGCTCTACTGCAAATCACCAAACTGCCTGGATATCGGTAAAATAAGGCACCAACATGAAATATACTACCTGTTTACCTGTAATGAGACTTCTGCCTTGGCTTCCCAGTGTGTTCCAAGACACACATAGTGAGATCACTTTATGGGTCTTTTTCACCCCCTGAGACTCTCCCTCAGAGGATGCCAAGCACTTTCGTGATTGTCCCTGAAGCACTGAAATCATAATAGATTACAAGGGAGAGGGTAATTTACTAATAGTACAGAACAATTTGTTTTTACCAGTAGGTGATTTAGATTCATTCCTACTTTTTACTCTTTATTAACTTTCTATTTTTTCTGCTTTGGTAGTTAATTTCTGCATCCCTTTGGCTAGGCTATGGCACGCAGTCATTTGGTCAAACATCAGTCTAGACGTCATTGTGAAGATTTGTTTTAAAGCTTTTATTAACATTTAAATCAATAGACTCTTAGTATAGACAGTTATCCTCCTGAATAGAGGTGTGCTTCATCTAATTAGCTGAATGTCCTAAAGAGCAAATACCGAGGTCCCCTGATCTCTCTCTATATATTCATATATATGTATGAATGTTCTTTTGAATCTGTTTCTCTGAGTACCCTTCCTAATACAATCCCACAGGGAAATGGATTTCTATATTTTATCAATACAACAACTTGTCAGTATTCCTCCCATCTACAATGGTCTCCACAAATGGGTGATAACTGAGACATTTTAAACAATGTCCTATCACATTATTTGAATGATTAAATGAACTCAAAGTAATAACGCATTATGTATATGAAGTGTGATTTCCTTCAATTATTTTTTCATTATTTTTCTTTCTTTCTTTTTTTTTCTTTTTGACCACAGAGAGATAAATTAGTTACTTACACTTCCCATTCTCGTCTTATGTTGTATTGTCATCATCTCTTTAGGTCTTCTCTTCCATTACATTTGCCTGTGTTACATTTCAGTATTTCTTATTCTTCCATTATGTTCAATTTTCACTCCAACTCTTCTTGTCTAACTTGACACATATTCTACTGTGCTTGAGGTATACCCAGCATGATCAATGTGGTCTGCAAAAATATAATATTTTCCATGAATGTATTTTACTGTATTATTTTGCTGTAAATTGTTTTGTGGCATTTTACGTCACTTTATTTGTCATAAATCCGTGTGACATTTTTTTTGTTTCTTTCTTCATTATAATCAATAACATAAGATAAATTTCATACACCTCTTCTTTATTGGTAGGTACTTGTTTCCAACCTCAGTTATCACCAACACTACCACAACAGACAGTTCAATGAAAAGTCTTGAGCTTGCCTGGTTAATATGTTTTAAACAAAATTATCCATGATACGCATTTCACATATCTGCATTTGTGTGTTTGCATGTGTTGATATAGATAGATAGATAGAAACATACATACATACACCTATGCCTATACCCACACCTAAGCACACACATGGTAGTTAAACCTCTTGATAAAATAGAATATAACAAAACATTTAATTTTGCTAAATATTTTGGATTGATTGTACCAGTACAATTTTCCACTAGTAAATGAATGAAGTTTCCTGAGTCTTCACTTCTATGACTGGTACCTAAATAATGTTCTTTCTTGTTAATTAAATATTATTTTAAGGTGTATGTTTCTATTCTTGACTTCCCCCTTGTTTTTAGTTTGATTTCCTGGCATGTTTAGTAATTAAGTAAAACAACTTTATAGTGGTATCATTGAAGACAATAAACTGTAGATACTAAAGTATAAAATTTGAGGAGTTTTGACATATATATGCATCTGAAAAATCATCAAAACTGTCATGATAATGAACATATCCACTATCCCCAAAATTTCTTAGTGTCCTCTTTAATATTTCAATTCCTTCCTTTTATG